AGCGAACAAGAATTTCTTATTGCAAAACTAAGCATTCATCTAGATATTATCAATAAATGAATGAAAACCTTTCGCTACTCCTCACCGTGAAAACAACTTCTTTTGTCTAGACATCCAAATATCCCTACAGCCAACTATTTCTTCCCATTGCCAAGTGAAATTAATTGCCCCGAAGCCATCTGTCCACACATCAGAAATATTGCAAAAAACGATCACCGTGGAAACTCAGATGTGTCCTAAGGCATTTTGGGCAAACACTTTTATCACATGTGTGGCAGAGAGCTTCAACAAAACAGCAGTAGCGTAATAAGAGAAAAGTCATGCAAAGCGAACAAGAATTTCTTATTGCAAAACTAAGCATTCATCTAGATATTATCAAGAAATAAATTAAAACCTTTCGCTACTCCTCACCGTGAAAACAAACTTCTTTTGTCTAGATATTCAAACATCCCTACAGCCAACTATTTCTGCCAATTGCTGAGTGAAAGATAATCACCACGAAGCCATCTGTCCACACATCAGAAATTTTGCAAAAAATAATCACCGTGGAAACTCAGATGTGTCCTAAGGCATTTTGGGCAAACGCTTTCATCACATGTGTGGCAGAAAGCTTCAACAAAACAGCAGTAGCGTAATAAGAGAAAAGCCATGCAAAGCGAACAAGAATTTCTTATTGCAAAACTAAGCATTCATCTAGATATTATCAAGAAATAAATGAAAACCTTTTGCTACTCCTCACCGTGAAAACAAACTTCTTTTGTCTAGATATCCAAATATCCCTGCAGCCAACTATTTCTTCCTATTGCCAAGTGGAAATAATTGCCTCGAGGCCATCTGTCCACACATCAGAAATATTGCAAAGAACGATCACCGTGGAAACTCAGATGTGTCCTAAGGCATTTTGGGCAAACGCTTTCATCACGTGTGTGGCAGAGAGCTTAGACAAAACAGCAGTAGTGCAATAAGAGAACAGTCACGCAAAGCGAACAAGAATTTCTTATTGCAAAACTAAGCACTCATTTCGAATTATCATGAAATAAATTTAATTCCTTCTGCTATCCCCGACTGTAAAAACAGGCTTATCTGGATGTCCAAACATCCCTACAGCCAACTATTTCTGCCAATTGCCGAGCGAAAGATAATCGCCACGAAGCCATCTGTCCACACATCGGAAATTTTGCAAAGAATGATCACCGTGGAAACTCAGATGTGTCCTAAGGCATTTTGGGCAAACGCTTTCATCACGTGTGTGGCAGAGAGCTTCAACAAAACAGCAGTAGCGTCATAAGAAAACAGTCATGCAAAGCGAACAAGAATTTCTTATTGCAAAACTAAGCATTCATTCGGATATTAACAAGAAATAAATGAAAACCTTTCGCTACTCCTCACCGTGAAAACAAACTTCTTTCGTCTAGATATCCAAATATCCCTACAGCCAACTATTTCTTCCCATTGCCGAGTGAAAATAATTGCCACGAAGCCATCTCTCCACACATCAGAAATTTTGCAAAGAATGATCACCGTGGAACCTCAGATGTGTCCTAAGGCATTTTGGGCAAACGCTTTCATCACGTGTGTGGCAGAGAGCTTCAACAAAACAGCAGTAGCGTCACAAGAGAACAGTCATGCTAAGCGAACAAGAATTTCTTATTGCAAAACTAAGCATTCATCTGGATATTATCAAGAAATGAATGGAAACCCTTCTGCTAACCCTCACGTCGAAACAAACGTCTTTTGTCTAGATGTCCGAATATCCCTACAGCCAACTATTTCTTCCCATTGCCGAGTGAAAGATAATTGCGCCAGCTATCTGTCCACACATCAGAAATTTTGCAAAGAATGATCACCGTGGAAACTCAGATGTGTCCTAAGGCATTTTGGGCAAACGCTTTCATCACGTGTGTGGCAGAGAGCTTCAACAAAACAGCAGTAGCGTCATAAGAGAACAGTCATGCAACGCGAACAAGAATTTCTTATTGCAAAACTTAGCATTCATTCGGACTTTAACAGCGGATGTGGGAACCTTGTTGTATTCTTAGCCTCACTTGATAAAGGTTCAACATGCCAGGGTACCGAAGCTAATACTCGGCTGCATTCAAAAGAAAGGTCATTGAAGCTGGCAAGGAAGTCGGCAGCAGTGTGGCCGGAAGACTGTTCGGAGTCACCGAGGGAAGTGTCTGTTGATGGAAACAGAAACAAGAGCTTTTCGCATGCAGGGGAAAGCGAAAAAAATTTCGCGGCCCAAAGAAAGGGGCCTTCCCAGAGATTGAACTCGCACTGACAGAGTTCGTTCAACAGCAGAGGGCGGGGAATTCGCCAGTCAAGATGGAACTGATGCAGATGAAAGCGAGGGAGCTGGCGAGACAAAAGAGAATGTTGAGCTCGGACTTCAAAGCCAGCAAGCACTGGATCTACTGTTACATGTGCCGAGCCGGATTTTCCCCGCGCTGGCGAACTTCCATTTCTCAGAAGCTCCCTGATGCCTTTGAACAGTTTCTTATCTCATTTCAACGCCATGTGATTACGTTGTGCCACTTGCAGAACTTCCAACTGGGACAAATCTGCAACGTTGATCAAACGCCAGTTTACCTGGACATGCCATTGCCCCTTACAGTTCACGAGAAGGGCTCGAAGCAGGTCAGTGTCCGTACCACTGGCAATGAAAAAACGCGTGTCACCGTCATCTTATTGTGCACGGCGGACGGCCACAAGCTCCCACCTTATGTCGTCTTCAAGTGCATGACAATGCAAAAAGAGGAGGAGCTACCAGAGAATGTCATCGTGAGATGTCACGATAAACGCTGGATGAACGAAGACCCCGTCCTAGACTGGATAATGTCTGTGTAGTGCAGACGGCTTGGCACCCTGCCGTCGTTTCCATCCATTCTGGTGCTGGATGCGTTTCGGTGCCATTTGGCCGATTCAGTGAAAAGGCTTTTGCACGACTGCAGCACGGAACTGGTCGTGATCCCGGGTGGGATGACATCTCAACTGCAACCTCTTGACGTTTGTGTACATAAGCCATTCAAAGAGGCAGGTTAAACGTTGCTACGCCGAGTGGATGCGCTCAGGTGAGCCCGCAGTGATGCCGACCGGGTGGCTGAAACGGGCATCACCGGCCACGCTATGCAAATGAATCGTGGACGCTTGGGCAAGAATTTCAGAGGACCTTGTGCGTCATTCCTTCAAGAAGTGCGGCATCTCTAATGCTCTCGATGGCACGGAAGACAAGCACCTATATGACGATTTGTCTGACAAGGAAATGTCCAAAGAAAGCGCAGTTGAAGATGACAGCGATTGACATAGCGAATGTTTGATCAATAAATCTGTTTTCGGTGACCTTTCCTATACAGCTTTACGCGCAGGTAAAATTTTTTTTTTTCATTTCGCGCCTCTAAAATTTGACCTAGTATTATATTCGTGTTCATATTAGAGAGTTATAGTTAAGCGTTAGCGTGATAGCGTAGGTTAAGGGAATGGCGTTACCGTGCAACAAACGTTCATTGTGGGCAGCGTCTTATAGTTTAGCGGGATAGCGTTTACGTGGTTAACGTGCCCCAGCTGGGGTTGTGGGCCACCTATTATATGGTTAATAAGTTAAACAGTGAAAATGAAAAGAAAACGAGAATGTTTGCCTATGCCACCGCACGAAGCAGTATTAGAAGTTTATTTTAGTGATATTTAAAGTAAATAAATATGAACCACGCATTAAACACGAAAACATTCATGTTGCCAATTTGTTTACATCAATCTTGTAGTTAGGCCTAGATGCGTTGGAAATGGGAAGCTATCTCAAAAACAACGCCAACTTATCGTAATACTCGGTCATTAAAGCTAACTGAAGGCAAGCGAAGCCACTTTGAACAGTTGTTTGCTGCGAACAAAGTGAATCTTTCGACAACTACACCAAAATCACTTCGAAGTGGGGGTCCGAGAGCGCCGCCATGTTTACGTACACTACGTACACCTACGCTACCATGGTAACGTGAAATCTGAAAAATACAGCGCATACGGGAAGCGGTACGGGTGGCGTACTACTAGAGCTCATGACGTACTACTAGAGCTACTAGAGCTCATGGAAATAAAAAAATCCATGTAAGCTAGAGCTCATGGATATTAAAAAAATCTATCGTAAGATTGTTGCAATATTTAAAATATGATTAAAACACCCCATCAGAGAGTAACTAATAAAATAAAAGTTAGCTTCATACTAAACAAATGGGGCTCTATAAAAATAAATGCAAAAAATGGCCCCAATATCTGCATGTTTCGCTATAAATGTCGTTGAATGACGTAGTCTTCTGCCTGGAGAGAGCTCATGAAACATTCATTTCATATTCTGCGCGAGAAAATTGGTGATGGAAATTCTGCACCTACCCGTTGAGATGTGCACATCGGGTAGGTGCCTTCACCGTATTGTAGCACCTATGCAAACTGCAGGAAACCCCTGCCTTTTTGTGCATTGTCAGCTTAGTGTAACAAATGCTACGTGCCTTAGAATTATTTATGGATAACTTTTATAATATAAAAAAAAACACGCCACAGCATGAGAGTAGGTGTTCAGAGGTATGAACGCCCTGAAAATAAGTTTTGAAAGAAAATACTTTTTGGCTATTTTTTATCATTCCAATACCCACAAACCCCTCAGCTGAACTGCTGCTTAAATAAAACAACTGCCTCCAGCTCGATTGGTTTCATACTTATTGTTCATCCTTATTCACTTCTCACTCAATAAACAGAACTCCTGTTAAACGAAACACATTTTCCTAGTCCCTTTAGGTTCCATTTAATAAAAGTCTACTGTAGTTGGTGCTATGTGGGTCAAATATACGAGTTTGACTGTACTATGCTTGGCTAAGCTATGCCCCCCCACCCCCCCCCTGCCTCACTGCTAAGAACACACTGGCTTTCAGTGGTGCATGCTTGCCAAGTTTTCGGAAACTCAATCTCAAGCTACAACAGCTCCGTTTTTTCATTGAAAAAAAAAAAATTTAACTGACCCGAGCATGCGGATGACCTTGATGTCGCGAAGGTCCACATTTGTGTCCTTTGCCGGGTCTACCACCCTAAGCACCGCATCCACAGCAATGGGTGCAAGTTGGGAGGAATGCTGTGACACAACCTTCGAGTTGAGAGCTGTGGTGGCACTCTTCAGCAGCGAATCCCGGTCAGCCAGGTCCAAGGGGTGCGACATGTCCGTCAGCACCTCTACAGCCATGGCTGCTGCTGACTGGAAAGACTCTGAGATGGTGGTGGGGTGAATGCCTGCAGAAAGGGGGCGGCCTACTGAGTCTACTAATGCGAAGGTGTTAGGGAGCCCATGTCACAGTAAATGCCGGTTGGCATTGAGCTTCATCGATTTACACGCCGGCGCCGCATTCGTTTTTTTTCGGGGACCAACTGGAAGCTCTGCCCACTGGTCCGGGATCACTCGGACGCATGTTCGTCCTTCGCGTGCTTGGCGGCCTGCGGGCGGCCCAGGACTGCCCGAACAATTTCTTTCGGGTAGCTGGCAGACGACAGCGCGGTGCGAATGCCGTGCGGCCATCTTAAGTTAGACACGGAAAATTTTCGATGCGCTACTCACTCTTTGCTTTTCTGTCCGCTTCTCGCATGTTTCTGGATTTCGCATTGTTAGCGCACCCAGTTCTGGTCATCGGTGTTCTGAGCCACGTCGAGCATGTGCGTATTCCCAAAGGTCGGGCACACACGCATTTTACTCGCTAGGAGAAACAGCGATGGAACGACCACGCCGGTCTATGATGCGCACGCACTTGAGTAGTTCACTTACAGTAAGTTGCATCACAACAAAAATAGGTATAATTCACTACCTAACTGCTGTTTAGGTTGCAAATAAGTCAGCATTGTGGCCTGTGTTTCAGCTATGGAGGGAGCAGACAGCAGGGCAGACGCCACAGCGGATGCAGTCAGCATCAAGCGAGCAGATGGCCCGAAGCCGCTCGGGCTGGCTCGGGACTTTTAGATCACGAGCATGTGACGCAGGCGCCTGTGAGCCGAGGCGTCTGCGAGTGATCCGGGACTTGGTAAATCGATGAAGCTCACTGACGCAGTTGTATGCGAGCAAAAAATCCCGACGGATGCAAAGAATGAAATTGGGATTCAAGTAAGAATCGAACCCAAGCATTCTACATGGCAGGCAGGTATTCTGCCACAGAGTCCAGAGCCACATCAGTGCTTAACGCTCATCTGACAGTTGTACTTGGCAATAGCAACTGGAAGCAGCAGTGCTGTCAATAATTTGGGCAAAGAACGGGCAGAAGCATCGTTACATCTAATTGAACGAATATCTGATGTATAACGGTCGTCGGACAACTTTTGAATGCACGATGGAGAATGTACCGGTAGTGTAACTGCATGGAGGGAAGGAAGAGCAGAATTGCGAAAATGTACTGGTATTTCAGTGACAGCGAAATAGTTTGCAGTGTTTCTGCATGCTACTCATGGCATTACGAGATACCCGTGCTTGTCTTATTATTCGGCATTTGTCAGAGGGAACAACTATCATAGCTTGGATTGTATCAGTTGAAATTTGCATTTCAAATGTTTTTCTGTTAATGATTTTTTTTGCTCCTTACAATAATGTCAGGGAGATTTATTAGGGAACGCCGAATCTCACAGCAGTGTGTGCATTGTAAGGGCATGAAAGTCGATTCATGGTTAAATGCGTGTCAAGCTGAACTGACCCTTGAGAAGCAGCTTGGCTGCAGCGTCCAGCAGACTGCCTGCGATGACCACGACGGTCGTGGTGCCGTCACCGGCCTCCACGTCTTGGGCCTTGGAGAGCTCCACCAGCTGCACAAAACACAGTCAAGGCCGCATAGCCTGGTCACCCCGTGCAAAGCAATAGACAACCATGACACAGCAAAGGAGCTAAACTTTAGAGACTTCAAACATGAAACAGATGTTGCAAAACCTTAGAATCAACAGAGAAGGTCAATACAGAAGGTTCTGATAGTACAGTTAAACCTCGATTTAGAGAACTTCTTTATAAAAAAAATTCTTGATTGAGCCCTTTAAAAATCAAGCAAGTAATAAAAGTTTCTGCACTCAGAAGTTTAGCTTTCAAGATGTACTGAGACACCAGCCTACTCTTTGAACCGGTTGCACACTTGCACCAGGGTTGCAGACATCTTGAAAATCATAGCTGTATGCAGTCAGCAACAATGCAGACTACTGACACGGCACCCATATATATATATATATATATATATATATATATATATATATATATATATAAAGAAGAGCGTAGTAGAGCACGGTCCTACCATCTTAGCAGCTGGATGGAGCACCTGCATCTGCTTCAATATGGTGGCACCATCGTTCGTGATGGTCACATCCCCGTTGGCTGCCTGGATCTGAAACGGGTTGTAACATCACTAGTCCATTATACAAAGTCAGTGCCCATCAAACAGCTCTCAAAAACCATTAAAGTCCACCGACAGCAAACACTAAATGAACCTCTCTATGAGGAGACTATGCTACAAAACACACTTTTTTTGTACTTGAATGAATTTTTATGAAGCTTTCAAAGAATATACATTTTTATGCCCTCGCTGAAAATATACTATTGTTTTCTGATGCACTATGTAGTTTTTTAATTATCAAGTATTTATGCTGTCATGATTTTCTTCTAAAATTGCAGAAGTCGCAAAGCAAGTCTGCATATCACAATAACCTGAAACTAAGTACAATGGAACAAGATGTTTTAAACTCAATTGAATAAGCAGTTCAGCACAAGAAACATTTGTTATTAAGTTGGTGTCAAACCGGGAGTTCACTTTGCATTCCAGATTATCGAGACAATGCTGATTTGCTTTGCAGCTACCACAGCAAAAAAATATATATACCTTGCTCAGGAAGCAAGTCACATGACAAAATTGGTATACTATAAAAAATGGCACATTTAACTAGTAAAATATGTACACATTTGAAATAAGGACATGAATGTCAAATTTCCACAAAACAAGTATTCCTAAAACAGGAAGACCACACCATGGCTTCAAAACGTGTACAGTCAAACCCACATATATAACAAATTATTGTGTCTATTGAGCAGTTGTGACATCCCTTTGGATACATTTTACTTGCATACTATCTTTTATATACTGAATTAAATATAGAACTCTCTTGCGATGCCTTTCACATTCATTACGTTTGGGTTTGACTGTAGACATGCCTGCTTTTCAGATAGTTGAGTGCACTTATAAATGTCACACCACAAGACAGTTTTTGCCCCTTATATATAAGCTGCCTCTTCTAAGCAGGGTACAACATTCTCATTTTCCGATGAACCCCTATTTCTATGAAAGGACCACTCGTGTCTTTTATTCCCAACTGTATTACACGGTGCTGCAAGTCGGGTATCACTCCCTCAGTAAGCACACAGGCACATGAGCCTACAGCATTTTCGCTTTCACCGAAAATTCACTTGCTACAGCTAGCATTCTATCCCACGATCTGCAGGTCAGCAGCCAAGTGCCTTAGCCACCAGACCACTGCGGCGGGGCTGCTACGCACCCACTTAAGAGAATAGGCCTTAAGATAATAGGCACAGTAACATGTGTGCCTTTTGGAATGGGTGACTGGCTTTAAAGAATGAAGTCATTATGATAATCGCATGTTCTGACCCTCGATGACAATGTATCCTTGTAACACGCATTAATACTATAATATTTCCTATTGTACTGTGAAGGAGGTATATAGAACGTGTGTGTTTGTAAAGCATCAAAGTTACTTTCACCGAGTTTCCAAGCAGGGGAAGTTATTTTCACTGCATTCAGAAGCAAACGCATAGCTGGGTGGTAGAACACTCACTAGGCACGCAGACGACCTGGGTTTAATTCCCCTCAGATTTAAGATTTCGCATTGTTTATTTTCTTTGCACCTTTCTCAATGTTTTGGTCACGCACAACATGATTTATCGCTCACAACCGACGAACTTATCGCTATTACCAACATTTCTGTGAAACAAGCCCTTTCTACAACCAACACAGTCGCAAAAATTTGCACATTCTGGAAAGTCTGAAAATCCCTGGAGGCTTCCAAAAGGAGCCAGAACTTCATGACAGTGCAGCTTCACAGCTAGCACGAAGGTTACCGTATTTTCGCGCGTATAACCCGCACCAAAAACCCAAAACTTTCAGTGGCAAAGTGGACGTGCGGATAATACGCGGGGGATTTTCCTGTAGTGCTGCTTCACAGCAATGCGTGTTGTGCTGTGAAGCCCCTTAACAGTGTAGCGAAGGTTACGGAGGCGGTTTCCCCGAATTCGTGTTGCTCCGCAAGTAGCACGGCAGCTTGCGGCCGAGTTTGGTTTCGCTTGCTTGCATCGTTGAAGCGTTTAGAAAAACATTTGGGGAGAGACAATTCGTTTGTTCAGTGTAAAATCTCACTGTCACACCGCAAGTATATTTTTTGGACGTTCGCGGCCGCTCAGTGACCCTCCACATGTCCCTACATCACGGACGCCATGTTTACTTTTGGAAAGGGCTTGCTGAAAAGGTTGTGCTGTCTAAGAAAGTTCCATAACAAATAAAGTAAGTTCCATAATATATAAAGCAGTACTTATTTCAGCAAGGCAAATCAGATGTTATAGTGCCTATAGAGATATTATCAGTAAATTAATGTACTACTTTTTGACGCGGTAGCAGGCATGCATTTCGGTTCTGTTGTTTCCAGGGTGCTGTTACAGTGTACTAGAAGGGGTAGTGCTGTCAAGTTGTCGCCGAGTGTGAGCGCTTTTTACCTCGCTGATACTGCTAGTTCACATCTCGACCCGTTCGCCTAGCCTAAGTCGATCTGTTCTGTCACCATGAGTAGCGTACGGCGGCAGGCCTTCACGGCACAGCAAAAGCTCAAGATGATCGCCGTCGCCGAGGAATTCGAAAATCTCGAAGCGGGAAGACGGCACAATGTGGACGAGTCCTGCGTGCGACTGTGGAGAAAGAAGAAAGAGCCTACAAGCCGCACACTGCGACCGTAGGTCATTTCGTGGCCCCAAGACCGGTGCCTACCCCGAGCTGGAGGCGGAGCTAGTAAAGTTCATCGAAGATGTGAGAAGCAGGGGTCACGCCGTATCGTCTGAGATGGCCCAGGTGGAAGCGCGGCGACTTTCGGGGGAGCTAGGCCTACCCCACGAGTTCCGCGCGAGCCGCGGATGGCTGCCCCGCTTTATGAAGCGGCAAGGGCTCTCAATCAGACGGCGGACTACAATATGTCAACGCTTGCCGGCTTCTTATGAGGAGAAGCTGCTCAAGTACCAGAGATATGTAATTGGCCTGCGAAATCAGCAGAATTACATTTTCTCGCAAATCGGCAATGCGGATGAAACTCCTGTTTAGTTAGAAATGCCGTTGGACTCAACGATTGAGAAGACGGGCAGCAGTTCGGTGAGCGTGCTCACCGACGGGAACACGAAACTGCATAACAGTCTTGCTTTGCGCCCTCGCCGAGGGCACGCAACTGCGACCGTACGTCATCTTGAAAAGGAAAACTCCCCCAAAGGTTCATTTGCCTGTCGGTGTGGTGGTGAGAAAACGCATGGATGAACAGTGACTTGTTCGTAGACTGGATCAAGACGGTATGGGAGAAGAGGCCCGGTGCAATGCTCGCAAAGAGGTCCATGCTCGTTCTTGACTCGTTCCGCGGCCACACAACTGAGGAAGTGAAGGACCGCCTTTCACGCAACGGCACCGACTTAGTTCAATCAATCAATCAATCAATGAAGCTTTATTTTCATAAATAGATATATGCAATTACAGGGATTATTTGGACCGATAGCCTAAAGTGGCTAGTGGACGGTCCAATACAATGTGCAACATAAAAAAGTGTACAGGTCAGCTCTGAGGTAACAACATAAAAAAAAACAATCATGTGATACAGATAACACAGTAATACATTTTTTCTTGCAGATATGCATACTTATTAGCTTGCAGCTAGTTTCTATACATAGGCACTTATTAAAAAAATACAATGAAAATCGAATCACACACACATGCTTACATGTCTTGACTCCACAGAAAAAATGATTTACATGCCATGCTGAAATTACGTGCCGTTTTAATCTCTAGGGGGACCGTGTTCCATATTTTTGTTCCACTAAACTGTATCAGTCTTTCTCCGTAAACATTAAAACATTTGGGCAGATTGAAATTACCATTCGAAGCATGTCGCGTATTGCGTTTAGGAATTGAAAAAAGATCAGCAGGCAAAGGTGAATTTCTATTAATTATGTTATTTACTGAAACAGCCATTTTGTAGTCACGCAACATCGGAACCGAGAGAATGCGTTGTGATTGGAAAATATTACTTACTGATTCACCTTGGCTTATGATTTTCAGTGTACGCTTTTGAAGTCGTTCAAGAGTTTTTAGATAACTGTTGTACGTCACACCCCACGATTCCAGACAGTAACCTATGTGACAATGACACAATGAAAAGTAGAGTGTGCGGAGAATAGCTTGTGGAAAATATTGGCGAGCTTTTATTAGAGAATAGCAGCCATAGGCTAGCTTTGCGCACACACTTTGTACTTGCTCATGCCAGTGTAAGTGTTCATCAAAAGTGACGCCTAAATATTTAAAACAAGGAACTTGTTGAATAGGAGTGTTGTTTATTGTTAGGTTAAGAGATTCAGCGTCAATATGTTTCCTACGAGAGTGAAACACCATATACTTTGTTTTAGTACAGTTAACAGTCAGCTGATTCCTGGCAAACCATTCCGAAATGTTCGATAAATCGGTCATCGCGTCATTTTGTAAATCTGCTAAGGAGTGTCCTGTGAAAACTAAAACAGTGTCGTCCGCGTACATCAGTGCCCTTGACCTTTGTAGGGATCGCGGGACATCATTAATATAAAGAGAGAACAATATAGGGCCCAAAACTGAACCCTGTGGCACCCCGCATTTAATATAACCGTAGGATGATTTGATGTCACCAATGACTACCTTTTGTTTGCGTGCCGATAGATAACTAGAAAAAAAATCAAGCGAGTTACCTTTTATCCCATAAGAATGCATTTTTTCCAGTAAAATGGAATGACTAATAGCATCAAATGCCTTTCGTATGTCTAAAAATACTGCTATTGCTATGTTGTTTTCATGTAGCGCGGAATTAATATATTGCGTAAGCATCGAAACAGCAGTTGAAGTGGACCTGTTTGCAACAAAGCCGTGTTGCTGGGGACAAAGTACATTCTGTTCACCCAGGAAGCGCCTTAATTGCGACGAAATTAGTTTTTCAAGCGTAGTGTTAATACTACTCAGAACAGATATTGGTCTGTAGCTGTCCGGAAGATTCCGATCACCAGATTTGTACACTGGTATTACTTTGGCGGTCTTAAGTATACTAGGATAAG